GCTCTTGTTCCCCAGGCTGGAGTGCAATGGCGCGATCTTGGCTCACGGCAACCTCCGCCTACTGGGTTCAGGCAATTCTCCTGCCTCAGCCTCCCGAGTAGCTGGGACTACAGGCGTGCACCACCATGCCAGCTAATTTTTGTATTTTTAGTAGAGACGGGGTTTCACCATGTTGACCAGGTTGGTCTCGATCTCTTGACCTCGCGATCCACCTGCCTCGGCCTCCCAAAGTGCTGGGATTACAGGCTTGAGCCACCGCGCCCGGCCTCTAATTTTTCTAAACATTTTTTAATAGACTATTTAAATTGTAAATCAAGTAGATAACCTATTAGATTCTCATATACCCATCAATAATTACTAGCATTTTGTCAATTTAGTTTCATCTCTTACCTCCATTGCCTTTTCCCTCATATACATACATTTCTGGACAATTTTAAAACAAATTACAGATATCATATTATTTCACCAATAAATGCTTTTTTCCATATAACCACAATACAATTGTAACACCTACAAAGCTAACAATAATTTATTAGTGTTATTTAATACCAAGCTTTCTTCAAATGTCCTTGATTGTCTTAAAAATGTCATTGTAATCTGGTTTATTCAAATCAGAATCTAAATAAGGTCTACATCTGACATTTGGTTGATAAATATAATTCTTTTACCATTTATTTACCTTTTCCTTCTATTTAAGAAAAAAAATCATGTATTTGTAGAAGAAACCAGGTCATTTGTCCTATTTCTCATACTGGATTTGGCTGTTTCTTCAAGGTGTATTAACTTCCTATAAACTAGTTAGACTTAGAGGCTTGATTAGATTCAGGTTCCATTCTTTTGGCAAGAGATACTTGATAGGTTACAGTACTGTGTACCTCCTGTTTCAGCATTTAGTAAACAGATATTTTCAAGATGACCCACAGGTACTGCAAAGGCTAATCGGTGAATTCGGATATTGTCATCTGATCTATCTGTTGTGAAGTTCCCCATCAGCCTTTTTTCTGATCATTTTAGCATTCATTGGTAGTTATTTCCTAGAGCCATTATTTGATTGGGAATTGCAAAATGGTGAGTTTCTTATTTGCATTTGTGTGTATTTTTTTTTTTTTCCATGACACATCCCTCAGGAGGTCCTGAAAACATGTGCCCCCAAATGGTGATTTTCTAATTTGAT